GGGACCTTCTTGAGGAATTCACTCTGCTGAGAGTTCATTTTTTGCTCTCTGAGAGCTGTGCTGAACAATACCCTGTGTTTCAGTGAGATGCTGCARGAACAGGTGTTTATCCCAATGCATGGTTGGAGTGGGACCACCTGCATGGGTGTTTCTCCAAGCATGTCTCTCATAACATCTCATTGTTTTGGAGGCAGTGGTTGGAGGTTTTCTGTCTSAGCTTCATCATCTGCTGAGGTTCCATCAGGAGTTCTGCATGAACTGGAGGTCTTAAAATATCTAGTGGGTTTTTCCCAAAGTCACATGTATGAAGGAGGAGAAAAAACCCACCAAACGAGGCTGCTGCATCGTCTGTCCTGCACAGCTCCAATGCAGACTTGGTGGCAGACAGGAGGTGTTCTCTGACCATGAAGTGTTGTGCCTGTCTGGCTGCCTTTGTTACCTCCTTTTCTGTTCCCTTTCAACTCCCCACCTTTCAGGGACCCAAATTTAGACATTTGGGTTGTTGCAGGGGCTGTCCTCAGGGCTTGATTTGGAGTTGGTGGTGTGTAACCTGCCATCACTTCTTTGCCTCTGGTTTTTGTGTTGTTTCATAGTGGCACCTCCCCTTCCCCATCTGTGTGAGTTGAGGAGTATTGAGCTCAGGGATGAAGTTTGTAGGAGAAACTTCTTTATGAAATTCTTTATTATGGGTGGGCTTTTCTCAGTGAGCCAAAAGTCTTCTTCCCATATCCAGCAGCCTCTGCTGCTCTGTGGCATCCCACTGATTTCCTCAGGAGCAGCAGTGGGATTTCTTCTGTGCCCTTTGGCCTTTCACCAAATAAAAAACCCAAATATGTCCAGAGATAGGARCATCTACAGCTCCCAAATGGAGCTGGACAATCCATGGGTGAAAGCCAGATTATTGCCTGGCTACTGATGAGATGGGAGGAGCTGAGAAAACAGTAATGGTGAGAATTTCTTTTCAGCTTTGAAGTTGGATGGTTTAATCTTGGGTTGCTAACCAGTAACAKATGGTGAGAAAGGCTGCTGGAGCTCTCCTCTGCTTTGGACTTCAGTTCATCCATCTTTTCAATGAGAGCAAAYGAGCAGCCCTCAAAACCAGCACTTTCTGGGAAGCTGGACTTAACCAACTTCTRTCTCATCACTCCCCCTTGTCTGGAGCGTGAATGAAAGTTTATTTTGGACCTTATCTCTGTAAATTCTTAGTTTGCTGAAAGGAAAGCAAAATACGTGGAGTTCCAGAAACTTCATGTTCCTTCTGGCTTCTAAGTAATATATATAGATATATATATAT